AGTAGGGCGGTATAGAAATCTAATAAATAAATAAATAAATAAATAAATAAATAATTAGGTGAAAACTGCAGGAACTCTTAGAGTTGGTTTTCACCAGTCTGTGCCAATATGATACCTCCAAATAAAACTGTTCTTTGAGGAATCTACCTGCCTTGGAGTTCGGTTTGCTATGGGTGTATTACTTGGAGACGCTGACAGCTATACTGTATAAGATAAAGGAGGGGTGTGTGCTCTAGAACGAGTGAATCGTTGGTGGAATTTGATCTGTGGCCTTTTTTAGATCCATTTTCCTTTTCCTTCTATGATTGTTGCATCAACAGAGAATGCACACAAAAAAAAAAAAAAAAAAAGGAGGACCAACAAGTTCTCCTAGATGATTAATTTGCCTTCAATCCCCACCCTTCCTGGGCACGTTACTGATATTCAAAGCTATTCCTGATGTGGTTTCTGCTTGAGTTATCCTCTTTGAATCCTCCTCTTAAGGCTAAAGTCTTGCTGTGAAGTGCAGGAATGATGCTGAAATGAAAGACCAATGGAAGCCCACATGATCTACATTTTGGATCATCACCTTTGCTCCCACTGCATGTAGTCCTCACCTTACAACAGTTCATTTAGTGACCATTTGAAGTTATAATGGCACTGAAAAAAGAGACTTATGGCAGTTTTTCACCCTTTCAACCGTTGTGTGATCAAAATTCAGACATTTGGCCACTGACTCAGTCTTTGATTTACGCCCTCAATTGAGCCCAAAATTTCCATTGCTAAGCAAGACAATTATTAAGAGAATTTTTCCCCATTTTACAACCTTTCTTGCCATCGTTATTAAATGAATTACACAGTTGTTCAGTTAGTAACATGGTTAAAGGAATCTGGCTTATCCATTAACTTTTATTGTCAGAAAGTCACAAAAGGTTATCACAAGTACATGCTACATGCCAAGCAGCCGAATGAGGTGACCATGAGTGACCATGAGGATGCTGCAACAGTCATAAGTATGAAAACTGTCATAAGTCAACTTTTTTCAGTGCCATAGTAACTTTGAATGGTCACTAAAAGAATGGTTGTATGTCAAGGACTACCTGTATAGGCCATCTATCTCACTGTCCTAAGTGACTCTTGTAGGCTTACAACAGTATAAAAGCATTAATTATAAAGACATTGAAAGTATTAAAATTAAAGTGGCACAATGATGTAATTTTTTTTATTATCACATACTTTCCAAGTATTTTTTCTAGAGCACAAATATGGAATCTGAGAGTCTCCAGATATTGTTGGACATCAATTCCCATCAATCTAAGCCAGCAGGACTAATAATCAGGAGCAATGGCAGCTGTAGCTACAAATCTTTTTACATCTAGTTTAGATGGCACTAAGTTAACTTCCATGCACAGCTTTTACACTCAAAGTACCAGTGCTATTACTCGTACACTCGTACACTCTACAAATCTCGTGTCTCAATTTGAGGTTTTAAGAGGTGAGACACAATTACAAATGGTAATAGAGCTCATACCTGGCCAGAGACCTCCTCCATATTATTTGTTGAGATGTTCCTTGGTGAGTCCTAACATTGAAAAGCAGGCTTTGCCAGCTGAGTCCCAATTCAAATTAATTGCACTGTAAAAATCAAGGTCCCTATAATTATCATTCATTTCACTATATAACATATCCTTTAAGTGGCAATAGTCTGAATCCATAACCATTGCCTTTTCTCTAATAAAAGTGCTTGTCCTAAGAAGCTATACTATTCTGTGGTGATACAAAATTGTAGGAAATTAGTCACCACCCAAAGGGGAAGGGAATCATAGATATAATTCTGGCATAAGGATACCACAATTAAATTTATTATCTCGAGAATTGTTGCCTAGTAGAGGGAAGGGAGGTTCATGGACCTGGAGAGAAATCATGGGGATATCATTTAAATTTGGTTTAGTTGATACCGTACATCAGGGATATCCAACCTTGGCAACTTTTAAGACTTATGGACTTCAACTCCCAGAATTCCCCAGCCAGCATAGCTGACTGGGGAATTCTGGAAGTTGAACTTCATAAGATTAAAAGTTGCCAAGATTGGGAACCTCTGCTCTACATCAACTCTTCCAATCTGACTGGTTATGATTTAATCATGTCCCAAACATGCTTTTCCAAAGAAAAACAGTCCAGTTGCCTCTTGAAAAAGCACCTTTGGGACAATCATGACATGGATGACTGAGAATCTCCATAGAGATTTAATCTTGTGTAATCAAGTTGGAGTTGACTCTTAGAAAACACATAGATATGAATAATAGACATTGTACAATTTGGACAATAAATAGAATCAGATGTCTTAAATACATAGTTTTATCAAATCCTTTTCCACTTAGTTTGAAGACTGGGGCCTCTTTCCTTTGTCATATATTCTCACAACCAGAATACAGAATAACAAAGTTGGAAGGAATTTCAGACGTCTTCTAGTCTAATCCCCTGCTTAAGCAGGGAACACTATACTATTCCAGACAGATGGCTGTCCAGTTTCTTCAGTCTCTTCTGTACAAACCCAGTCTGGGTGTGTTTTAGAATGAGAAGTAAAAGTCAGGTAAAAGTTTCTCAAGAAGCTGCATAGCTGAGTGGGAATTGGTACCCAGGTTTTCCCACTCCTAACCGCTAGAGGACACTCCCTTTCAAATAAATATTTGCTAGAACTGGCTGCACTTAAATCAAGTAAACAATACAAAGAAAGGCAAAGGCAAACCACTTGGAAAACACCCACGATCATACAAGCTGCATATTTTCAGTTCTGTAGCTATCTTAGCAAGTAAATTCATTTCTGTCTCCCATTCTACTTCATTCCAAGCATATCAATGTAGCCCATAGCATCCAGCTGACAAAAGTAGGGTTTTATACATAAAATCTCTAGCAAAAAGGCTGCAGGATTTTTAGATTTGTGTGGAACCAAATTAAAATGAACCACACTGACAATTTTTTTTTATTAGCAGTGAAACTACTTCTTTAACTGAAGTTGATCTTATCAAATCCAAGGACAAAATAATGTACAATATTTATCTTCTTCTGTGCAAGAATCAGAATTAGAAAGGGGTTAAAGCCATACTGATTAGGTCATGTTGTCTCTTGATAAGTGGTTATTCATTCATGTTTTGCATAGTATTATGATGTGCTGTGTTCTACCTCTTACAAGCTGGACATGGATAAAATGCACATTTCTCTGTCTGGACTCAGGTCGTTTTTGTTTATTTGCATCCCATCTTTACTACTTTTACAATAACTCAAGGTAGCAAACATATTCCACACACTTTCCTCCTCCTATTTTCCCCACAACAACCCTGCGAGGTGGGCTGAGCTGAGAGAAAGTGACTGGCCCAAAACCCCCAAACTGGTTTTTATGTCTGAGATGGGACTAGAACTGAGGGTCTGCTGGTTTCTAGCCTAGAGTCTTAACCACTAGACCAAAGTGTCTCTGGTCATAAATTGGTTATCCACTTTTTAAAAAGTCATTTTATGCAGCTGATAAAACAGTTTGTGACCATCACAATCGATGCCCAAATGCATATATTAATTTAATCAGCATGTTGGTTTCAACATGGTTATTTTTCTGACATTAGCCAATTTGTGGAACTAAACTCATTATGTGTAGATTCAGATCCTGCTCAACCATAAAACTTTTAATCTAGGCTACTTTGTTGCAGTATACCAGACAATTTCCTTCCTCGTGACATCTAATCCTGGCTCACAATGAGGAAGTGAACAATGACTGTCTTCCCCTCCCAGGCCAATACTGTCTTCTTTCGTTTGCAGTGGTTTTCTAAAATATCCAAGCACAAAATAATTGTTCAGATCCCAAGATATACAATTCCCCCCCTCTCCTTTTTACTGGAATGTAGTGTTTGCAATTCCAGAATTCAATAGGACGCCCCCATAGGATAAAGGTGTCTTAGGAGAACTTCTATTATAGCAATGATGATGATATTTACATTATTTACATTTTAATATCTGGAATTTTAAAAAGCATTATTTATCAGCCTAAAAGTCAATTTCGGCATAGTCTTGTTTGCAGGATCCTCAATTTCATCAGTTCAACAGGGAAGGCTCTCATATTAAATGCATATATTCATCTAATCAGCAACGTTGGACTTGGTTTCACTGCAACATGGTTTATTTTTCTGGCATTAGCCCACTTGTGGGACCCAACTCATTACATGCAGGTTCAGATCCTGCTAGACCACAAAACTTTTAATCCAGGCTACTTCGATCAAAGTTTATTAGTGCCACCTACAAAATGCCACTTTTGCTGTCAAAAGACTAACCTCCACAACGGAGCCTCGGTGGTGCAGCAGACTAAAGTGCTGCTAAGTGCTAGCATTTAGCTGCCAGCTGCCTGCAATTACTGCAGGTTCGAATCTCGCCAAGGCTCAAGGTTGACTCAGCCTTCCATCCTTTCGAGGTAGGTAAATTGAGGACCTGGATTGTGGGAGCAATAAGCCAATTTTGTATAGAACAACACCGCTTGGGGGGGGGCCGAAAGCCCTAATAAACAGGTTTATACAAAAAAAAAAAAAGTATGCAGGCTATTGCTATAATGCATTGTAAGCCGCCCTGAGTCTACGGAGAAGGGTGGCATATAAATTGGACTACTAATAAAGGGGGAAAAAAAAGGTGCTCCATCGCAACCCGCTCCTATGCGCGCAACAGCCGAGCCAAAAGGCGCTCTGCACAGGCCCAGAGGCCCGTCGGCTTCAGAGCTGGCACCGCCCAGCCACGCCATCTCTCCAGGCCGCCTCCCGCCCCCGCCACTACTTCGTGCCGAACCAAGCGCGTCCACCCCGCCCGCCCGCCCGCCGGCGCGAGCGCGCGAGCATGTCCCCTCCCCCCTTTGATCAGTTCTGCAGTTTATTTGCATAGCCGCCCCGATTGGCTGGGAGGAAAGAGGAAGGAGCGGAGGGGGAAGCCCGCAGAAAGGAGGAGGGAGGGAGGGAGAGAGGAGAGAGGAAAAAAAAAAAAAGAGAGAGAGAGAGAAAAGGGGGAGGAGACACCTTTGTTTCACAGCCTGGGTTTGTAAACAAGAGGAAGTCTAGACTCCCAGCTGGGGCTCTTGGCGGGGGGCTGCGGGTCTGTCGGAGGGGCGACTCCCCTCCCCAAAAGCCGCATCGAGGCACCATTTGACGCGGGGGCGCTTCAGTCGCTGCTCTTCGGACAGGTGAGATCCGGGGGGGGGCGTGGGGGGGCAGGAAGGGCTTTAGGGAAAAGGAGGCGTCCGTGGACGTCTCTCCCCCACGAAAGCCTGGCGGTGCGTGCCTGTCTGTCTCTCCGTGGGTGCATAAAAACACGCAGGTGCTGTGGATCATGTACCCTCCTGCAGGAATGGAGGGAGGGGGATGCAGTGGGCGCGGATTTCCAGTGAGTGACCCACTGACCCCCTCGGATCTGAATATCTGGAGAGGGATGGAAAAGTGGATTCCGGTGGATCCTTTTCAGAGGATTCCAACTGTTGTACTCCTCCTGACCACGCGAAGTGGGCATTTTTTTCTACATAGGATAACCTCATGTTCCTTTTGTTATTTCAGCAGGGGATTTTTTTTTTTTTATTATCTCCTCCCTTCGCGGTGGCCCGTATCTCCTCTAATCCCACAGGAAATGCTGTAGAGAGGGATCCGTTTTCAAGAGTCACTAATTCGGGATCAGGTGGCATCCTTTATGTATTGAGCAGCAGCCCCGGGTTGCGTTTTGTCCCTTGGGGGGATAGTTTCCAGCACAAAATCAATTGGTTGGTAGCCAAACGAGTCATAACCATGGCACTGTTTTTATCAAAGCTGGTTTTAACCCTCCCTTAGTCTCTCTGAGCAAGTAGATTTCTCTCTTTTCTCTGTCCATCAGTCAAGAAAATTTAATTTTTTTTTCCAGCTTGCTGTTTCAAAAGTTTTAATAGAAGGAGGGGGGCGGTGATTTGCACCTCCAACTTTTCTTTCCATATCCTTTATTCTTATTCTAAAGTTCACCTTTTAGGAAGTTTTTTTTAAAAAAACAACAACAGGAAAATGTTTGCATGAGTGGCCCTACAATTTATATGGAAATATGAAATTTGGCCTATTACTCAACAGCTGTCCCTTTCTGAAGTTAAAATGTTGCTATTTACCTCAGACACAGAACACAAACACAAATTTTCAGTTTATGACTATCATCCCACCAGCCCTACCATCAACTGTTCCACCCTCTATATCCACGTCCTCTTCTTCTACATGTATATTTCAAGCTTCCTAGTTATAAAAATAAGTAAATATAAAGTGCACATGATTGTTATAATAAAAGGAAACCAAGATACTTCATCTTGTCTCATCTTTTTCTCTATTCCCATTTCTCTCTTACTAAAGGGTCCCCAACAGCCTTATTTTTGAGTCTGTTTTTATATATTTGATATATCAGATTCACTTTATTTCCCTGAGGTTCATATCATTTCAATATCATATCATGCCCATGTTTACTTCTTACTTGCTATACCAGAGTCAAATTGCTATATATAAACAAATAAGTATATTGTTCTTAGTGCACCATATAACATGACAATAGTCATCTTTTCCATTATCAAAACAAGAGATAAGCTGAATGCTTATTTATAGAGCTCACGTATAAAACAAATCAGCTTAAGAAAATCCCTCCTCATACCTGGTATATATTTTCCTTATCATTATAAAAGAAAAGCCCTATTGCCTTCTGAAATAAATGTGCAAAAGGTAGTATTTGACTTGTATGCTCTGGTTCATTTGGTGTTCAGACAAAAACATACATGTATTTCCTGTCCACATCCAGTAGAAAAATAATTAATAAATTGCTGGTAAACAAGCCATATTAGTTATGGCTAGTATGTTTCTGTTGTCTCTTGAGACTGTCTTGGATATTGTTTAGAAGAGAATCTCAGTTGCAACTGTTACTGGCAAATATTATGCTATTTATTAAGAACAACAATATTTTTGTTACAGTTCCTTGGGAACTTTGATGGCATTTTTATAAGGGCTGAGAGTGAATAATGCAATGACATTTTTTTAAAAAATATATTTTTCAAGATTATAAACAAATATTTTTTTTAAAAAAGGAAGTGCATTTTTTTAAAAAAAACTTTGGTTCCTTCCTTTTACTTCTTATTTCTTTTGTCGAGCTATTTCCCATGTTCATCCCTTGTTATATTTCTCTCTGTCATTATCCTACCAATATTATGCCATTTATTAAGAAGAACAATATTTTTGTTATAGTTCCTTGGGAACTTTGTTGGCATTTTTATAAGGTACAAAGGTTGAGAGCGAATAAAGCAATGTTATTGTTTTTTTAAAAAAAATCTTTTTCAAGAGTATAAACATTCTTTTTAAAAAACGGAACTATTTTTTTTAAAAAAAACTTTCTTCTTTGTTTCCTTCCTTTTACTTCTTCCTTTATTTCTCCTCTCTAGCTACTCTGTGTTCATTTTCATCCCTTGTTATATTCCTCTCTGTCATTATCCTACCAATAATTCACTGTAAATCCTTAGAGAAATTAGGGAGAAATTAAAAATGATGTGGGGGGGGGACTCCCTATGCCACGGTGACATAAGGTGGACGTAAGGTGGATATCTAGTCATAGTTTGCTTTAAAGCGTGCCTGAAGAGAGAAAAAGAGGAAAATCTTTAAGTTCTCCCAAATGCTAAGAAGAAGGTCAACAAAAACAAAAACAAAACACAAATCCAGTTTCCAGGGAAAATGTATGGAGTCTCTGCCAACATTTTTCCCAGATCAGCATTTCCTTGCCTGCCCAACCTGATGGTTTACTTCCCTTTCAAAGAAGCACTTTTCTCCTCCTCCACTGTGAGGTTCCAGGCAACCACTCCACCCACCTCCTTTGAAAACCAAGCCTCCATCCTTCCTTGCAAAGATTCTCCTCTTGCCTGCCTCCCATCAAATACATCTCCAGCTGATTGGTTTAGCCCACTGTATTTTCTAGAAATCCCTCCGCTCTGCTCCTCCCTCTTCTCTCATCCTCGGGGCTGCTTTGTGTCCTACCCCATTCTTCTGCAGCCAGCTGTCTTGTCTCAAGTTGTGCCTTAAACTACAGGTATGTCTCTATTTCCTCTGGCTTGGCTTCACTTAAGTGGTCACCATTAGTGCCACACGATTCTTAAAGCTCTTTGTTGTGTTTCTCTGAAGCTCTTCCTTCCTCCCCCATCTCTGGGCATCATGTAACATAATTCCTCTAGATTCCTTCTGCCCTCTTCCTGACTTAGTGAAGATCCCTTCATCATTTCACAACTCTGAATACTGCCTGCTATTTTGTGACAAGCTGTTGATGTCTGTCACCACCAAGTATGCTTTCTAGACTTTGCTGCTTTCTGACTTGATCTTCCCTTGCATCTCAACCAAAGCAGATGGCAGTTGCTAGTTTGGTCTAGTGGTAAAGGAACCGGGCTAAAAACCAGGAGACTGTGAGTTCTAGTCCCACCTTAGGCATGAAAACCAGCCAGGTGACTCTGGGCCAGTCCCTGTTTCTTAGCCCAACTAACCTCACAGGGTTGTTGTTAGAGGAATAGGAGGAGGAAGGTATGTTGGATATGTTTGCTGCCTTGAGTTATTTGTAATAGTAATAGAGATGGGATGCAAATAAACAAAAATGTTATGAGTCCAGATATACCGTGAGGTCTTGGGCTATTTATAAAAATAATGAAGGTGGAGTTAAAAAAATATATCTCCATGCAAAGGCCCATGCTGCAAAAGTGAAAACTGGTCATAGGTTTGGGGTATGTGGGGTATATTATAATACTTGACAGTTATGTCCACAGTCTGATAGAATAAAGAAAACAAAAAGCTAAATGTCTGGTTTTATAAGAAAAGCCGAGGGTTTACAGCGAGGGGTTTGGAGAGGTACTAGGAAAACCTAACCTGAATTAATTGGAAGGGTGGCTTGGAAAGTTAAGGTCTTTGAGCGTTATTCTACGGTAGTTTTCTTTCATCACAGGATGATCAGCTGTGACCTATATCCTGGGGTTAATTACAGGCTGAGTCTCCAAGAAGCTGCTGAGGGAGGGAGGGAGGGAAAGCACGTGGTATTGTTTTTATTTAGATACCAAACTGGTTACACAGAACCTGGCCAGTTCCCAGAGCTAAGAAACAAAATCTTGGCATTCTGACTCTAGGTCTGTAAACGATCACTTCTGGCAGGTTCTCTATAGGTTGGTGATCCACCTCTTGCCTCTTCCTCTTTTTTAGGGCTTTCATCTGCTCCACTCCAGCGAGCTGTTTAGCTCTCCAGAACTCTCCTGCACCTTTTCTCCAGGTGTGACTCTGACCACAATGGTGAGGCTGTCCAAGCCCAAAACTTTTCAGGCCTATCTGGACAACTGTCACCGTCGCTACAGTTGCGTGCATTGCCGGGCCCACCTGGCTAATCACGACGACCTCATCTCCAAGGTACAAAAAGGGGAATGGGGTATGCCTGCTGCACTCCTCTAGAGAAGATCACAGCATCCAAGGAAAAGGGGCCGCTGTGTCTTCGTTAGCTTATTTTTTTTAAAAAAAGAAAGAAAAATATAAAGCACTTTATTACCAAAGGAGAATGTAAATACAGAAAGGCAATAAAGAAAGGACAGCCATATTTTCTTATCTTATATCTCAGTGTAAGATGACTACTGTGAATTTTCTGTGTTCCTTTAAAATTTGTCAGTTCTGCCACAAGTAAGTACAGGTAGTCCTCAACTTAACAACCATTCGTTTAGGGACCATTTGAAGTTACAACAGCACTGAAAAAGTGACTTACAACTGCGGTTACAATGGCTGCAGCATCTCCATGGTCACGTGGTAAAAATTGGAGTGCTTGACAACTAGCATGTATTTACGATGGTTGCAGCGTCCCAGGTCATATGATTTGCAGCCTTCCCAGGTGGCTTTTGACAAGCATAGTCAATGAGGGAAGCCAGATTCGCTTAACAGCCACAGTAATTCACTAGTCCCAATTGTGGTCATAAGACGAGGACTACCTGTAAGTCATTTCAGGGTCAGGGTCAAAGAATGTCTTAAACATTTTTACCCTGATGTAGCAATATTAATGTTGTAAGTTAAATACAAGGCCTAGGAGTGTGGATTATAAATTAATATAGATTAAGCAAGTCAAACTCTGGCAGGCATGGTTTGTTGGAGAAATCACCACCTCCTAAGCAAACCACAATTTAAATCTGGAAGCTTTCTCCTCTGGAAGTAATGCAGTTAAAAACAGGCAAAGAAGGTGGAGAGGGGGCCTTCCAAGCAGCAGCCACCAACTGCAGTGTCATGTCTCTTTCCAGAGCCACCTTACTGATGCTGCAGAATTTCTGAGCAGTAAAAGACGCTTATTTGGGACTAGAAGAAGGAAAGGGACGAGGAGAAGGGCAGTAGGGGGGTGTTATGGAGGGCAATGAGTTCTTTCAGAGATGCCTGCCTAGGCTTGTCTTCCACCTCCACCCTGGTTCTCAAGAGCTTACAAGGGCAACAGGTCTCAGCTGCTGCTGATTAATCATTAAATTCAGTTTCATGGGTTTGAAAGCAAACTAGAGAATAAACAAGGAAATGGGGAAGAGAACCTCTGGCTGCTTGCCATCAGCCAAGCAGGAGGGGAAGATAAGTAGCTGGTCTAGAACCAAAGTCTCCAGAAGATGATAAGCAGCTGACCACAGGCTGAAGGCTGTTCCTGAGATTTGGGTTCCCAAGGTTGGATGGGGGAGCGACGAGGGAGACAGAGTGGCAAGGAGGAGAAATCATTCTGGGAAGTATTCAAGATTGGTTGGAGGCATTTGTTTTAATAGGGGCAGGAAAGTATTTTGTTTTTGATCTATGCCCTTTTTGTTACAGTCTTTTCAAGGAAGCCAAGGACGGGCATATCTCTTCAACTCTGTGTGAGTATCACAAAAGAGGAGCATATTTTGGAAGGAAAAAAAAAACATATTTTTTGCACTCTTAAGACACTCCGGACCATAAGACGCACCTAGGTTGTGGGGAGGAAAACAAGAAAACAAAAAATCTGCCTCTGCCTCCCAGCCCCAGCATGTGGCTCGTCAGGGCTCCGCTCTGTTGTACCCACCACCGGTCAGCTGAGCAACAGCTGGATCCCGGCCTCCTGTAACCCCGCCAATCAGCGGGCTGGCTGACCAGAAACAGCACTATTGCTGCCTCATCTGTGTCTGCTGCCTCCACTGGGGAACACTGGAGCCTTTGCAATATTGCAATAGGCAATATTCGCTCCATAAGATGCAGAGACATTTTCACTCATTTTTTGGGGGGTGGGGGGTGCATCTTATAGTGCAAAAAATACGGTATATGCTGCACTCAGGTTTACCCTCTCATAGGACCTTTAGCTATGTTAAGTTGGTGGCCCCCAACTTTTGTGGCTTGGCCGCCCATCTGGAGGGGAAGAAGGGAACTGGGCCACGTGAGTGGTGGGCCTGGCACATGCATGCATGCAGCTTTTGGCACAAGTGGTGGGTGGCACACACAAGCGCAAGGGCCTAGTGGCCCACCACGTATAAAAGTTGAGCTGCATATGCACACTCCGGCCAGCGACTCGCACGGCCCAATTCCGAATAGGCCATGGCATGGTAGTAGACCGTGACCCCAGGGGTTGGGGACCCCAGTGTTCAGTGGCATCATCTGAGGCCAGGATACATGAGATGGGAGTTTTAGTTTATCATCAGAAGAGCAGCAGGTCCCTGCTGCATCCTAATTCTATGAATGCCGACTGAACTGGTAACTCCTCTTGTCCTGCTATACTGCATCTTCTATAAGGAGTCACAGACTCAATTCATAACACTTTAGCCGATAAAGTATTGGAGAAATCAGGGGTGGGTTCTAAATATTTTTACTACTGGTTCTGTGGGTGTGGCTTATTTTGTGGGTGTGGCTTGGAGGTCATGTGTCTAGGTGGGCGTGGCTAGCTGGTCAGAGTCATTTCTGGAAGGTCCTCGCACTTACAACCAGTCCTTGCACTTACGACCCGACTCATTTGTTTGCTTTTAACACTGATCAGCTGTAGGACGGCCCTTTGAAGCCCCGCGGCAAGAGTTTAAGCAGTTTTTTTCCCTCTAGTCATCAGCTGTGATTCAGGAGGCAGCAATAGATTGGGGGTGGGACCAAATAAAAGGTAAGAATAACGTGGGTGGGGGGGTGGGAGGGCGGGGGGGAGAACCAGTTCATGACGTCATATCGTCACCGCTACCGGCTCGGCTGAACCGGATCGAACCGGGAGGAACCCACCACTGGGAGAAATACTGATCTTTTTTATGTGCAGCTACTGTTATCAGATCGGTATGAAGTAGTTTCTCTGAACGTGGCCAGATTCTGCTATGCTGCATGTAAAATTAGGCTAACTTTAGCTGCCCACTGTTAATCCACTACCAATTATTCTGTCTGTCTTATTTTTTACTATTATTGTTGTTTCAGTGCTTTTATTTGTTAGTCTGTGACCGTAATAAAGAGGTAATAAGTAGTCAGCACTTGTATCCACAGCAGAGAGGACTTCATTCAACCAAATAATCCACTCTTGAGAAAAATCTAGCCACCTACCTGAAAGAAAAGATCTCACACTGAAGATCTTCCTCTACCACCTTTGAGGCATCTGTAGCTTGAAGGATCAGCAGAAGAGACAATCTCTCATTTTCATTGGACCTTAGCTGAAACAGAGGAAAGCAGAAGTAATTAAGATAGTAGAATGAGAGAAGGTGGGAGTAGGTTTCATTAAAAAGATAACCTAATAGGCTAATCTCCCTTTTCCCAAAACAGTCAATCCAGCAGGAATGTGGGGCATTTAGATAAAATTCAAAGATATAGGAGGCCTTCAAAGCAAACTTAAAATACTTCCGTACTAGTATTGATTGGCACATCGTACTAGTATTGATTGGCACATCGTTCCAAACTGAAACTCACACCACATTTAAGAAGGTTATTTCCCAGTGATTGCATAGGAATGAATGAATTCTGCGAGTAAGTTACAGAAACAACTAAGTATTCATAAGTTTTTGCTATTTTGATAGCAGAGCCACAGCCTGGAGGTTAGCCTGGTTGACCCTCTCCTGATAGGCAGGCCCTTGTTTCTGACTGTGCATTGCACAATTGACTTTCACCATAAGGTTAGAAACTATTTATGGTCTCTTTCCTTCCCAGCTCCAGCCTATCTCTGTGGCACTGTATTTCAAAAGACCTTGGTAGACCGCAAGACAGAGAAACCCTGGCCCTGTTTTCCACATGGGGGTTGTGGGCTGACCTCTCTCATTGGGAGTTGTGACTCTGAAGCTGGACACAATCCAAATCCCAGAATTGTCTCCGTCTTCATATCCAGTTTGTGAGAAAGTTTTGGGCTTGTTCTTATCCTGGTGTGCTTCCAAACCAACCTAACAGAACTGGGGAAATCAAATCCCACCTTTTCCCCCGAACCAACCTGAGCTTTGTCAAGCACCCACAAAGGGAATAGAACCATTGTTCTGGCAGCAATGGGTCAAGCTCCTAAGAACAATTCCAGGGATTTCATTTCATCCCTTGATTGATTTCCATTGTCTTCCAGTGATTTCCAGGCGAAGTAGAACTCGTACTAGGAAAACAGACTGGGACGGATGGGCCCTGTTAAAACTAAGGTGACATTGTGTTATCTTTTGGCTCCATACAGAGTGAATGTTGGATGTGGCCCAGCAGAGGAACGTGTTCTGCTGACGGGCCTGCATGCTGTAGCTGACATATACTGTGAAAACTGCAAGACCACCCTTGGATGGAAATATGTGAGTCTCCTGCTTTGTGCCCTTCTCTTCCTCTCCCTCCCTAAAACAATTGCACCTCTAATAGCTGGCTTCCACCCGTATCGTTCCTTTCTCTTCTTTCTTCTTCTTCTTCTACAGGAGCAGGCCTTCGAGACTAGCCAGAAATACAAAGAGGGCAAATTCATAATTGAACTGAACCACATGATTAAGGACAATGGTTGGGATTGAAAGCCAACCATCATCTTTGGACAACTATATGTAGGGGGTGGAGCCTAAGAAATGTCGAATTTCCACCAAGCCTGCCTCTACCTTCTCAACCATTGGATTGCCATCCCAGGCACCTCCAGGGGCACCTGAGTTGTGAAGGAGGAGGTGGTGCTCCTGCCAGAGACACACACCCACAGCTCAGACATGTTAACTTCCTGTGGCCCAAAGATGGGAGCTCCGGAACACCGTTGGGCCAGGGACCGTGTGCAAGTAGGGACTGGGGTGGGGGGAGGACTACGGCTGGCTCTGTTGTCCAAAGAGAGTCTGTATTAAGAGAAATACAGAGGGGAAATGTACATTGCGAGGGAGAAGGGAAACGTTAGGCGTGTACAGTACCTGTGTGCGTGTATGTGTGTATGTATTATATAAATAAAAGCATTGAAGTGATGGAGGTGGGTTTTTTTTTTCTTCCTTCTACAGGAGGGTCGTTGGTAGACTAGAGCAAGGGAGACAATATAAATTCCTTGGGCGGTTGCCAGCTTAGCTAATTAAAGCTAAGGCTTGGATGTTTTATTTCTATCCAATCAATCTGAAACATTCAAGACATCCTGTGAGCAATGGTACAAAACCAGAAAATCAGGATTTGTAAGTTTCGCTAGCCATACGTTGGGTTTTTTCTCTAATTTATTAGATTTTTATCCTACCTTTATTATCTTTTATAAATAAGGCAGCGAGGATACCTTTTTTGCTCCTCCTTCCTCCTATTTTCCCCGCAACAACAACCCTGTGAGATAGGTTGAAAATGACTGGCCCAAAGTCACCCAGCTGGCTTTCATGCCTAATGTGGGACTAGAAGTCATGGTCTCCTGGTGATTGGCCCAAAGTCATCCAGGTGGCTTTCATGCCTAAGACGGCACTAGAACCATACCCAAGGGGTAGTCCTTAATGGGTCTATGTCTTCATGGAGGGAAGTAAGCAGAGGGGTACTACAAGGTTCCGTCTTAGGCCCAGTACTCCTCAATATCTTCATAAACGACTTAGTTGAGGGAATAGAAGGGGAACTTAACAAATTTCCAGATGGCAGGAATAGCTAACACATTAGAACAGGGGTGTCAAACTCATGGCCCGCGGGTCGGATGCATCACGTGCTGACCCCACCCTCACTTGGTTTAGCGAACCGGAAAAAAGTCCCAATACATCACGTGACACTGCCGTGATGACACGTGTTTGACACCCTTGCCCTAGAAAATAGGCTCAATATCCAGATGGATCTTGACATACTTGAACACTGGGCCCTATCTAACAAAATGAAATTCAACGTAGAGAAAAGTAAAGTCTTAACACTTAGGCAAGAAAAACCAAAAGTACACCTATAGATTGGGTGAAACCAGACTTATAGCAGTAACTGTGAGAGGGATCTTGGAGTCTTAGTGGATAACTAGCTAAATATGAGCCAGCAGTGTGCAGCGGCAGCCAAAAAAGCCAATGCAATCCTAAACTGCATTAACAGAGGGATACAATCAAGATCAAATGAGGTACTAATACCACTCTGTAAAGCATTACCATGTTTCCCTGAAAATAAGACCCTGTCTTATATTTTTTTAACCCTGAAATAAGCGCTTGGCCGTATTGCCATGCACTCAAAAGCCCGATTGGGCTTATTACCAGGGGATGTCTTATTTTGGGGGAAATAGAGTAGTAAGACCACACCTAGAGTACTGCATCCAGTTTTGGTCACCACACTATAAGAAAGTTGTTGAGACTCTATAAAGTGCAGAGAAGAGCAACCAGGATGATTAGGGGACTGGAGAGTAAAACATATGATGAATGGTTACAGGAACTGATCATGGTTACTCTAGTGAAGAGAAGGACCAGGGTAGACATGATAGCAATATTTTAATATTTGAGGGGCTGCCACAGAGAGGAAGGGGTCAAGCTATTTTCCAAGGCACTTGAAGGCCAGACAAGGAATAATAGATGGAAACTGAACAAGGAGAGATTCAACTTAGAAATAAGGAGAAATTTTCTGACAGTGAGAACAATCAACCAATGGAACAGCTTGATTTCAGACATGGGTGCGTCATCATTGGAAGCTTTCAAGAAGAGATTGGACTGCCATTTGTTGGAAATGATGTAGGGTCTCTGCTTGGGTGAGGGGCTGGACTAGATGGCCTGTAAGGTCCCTTCCAACTCTGTTAATCTAATCTAGAATTCATGGTCTAATTCCTAAACCAGCACCTTAACCACTAGACCAAATTGGCAATACATTCTTGCAATATGTTCAAAATTCTTATTGAGAGGGAATTATTGCCTCTAAGCCTAGGGAGAAATTAAATCACAATCTGGCATTTAACTACCTTTCCCCAGAATATTAGTTTGAAGGCAGATTTCCATAGTTATCAGGGTTCATTCCCCAGCTGTGGGATGGGTAAGGGGATTCTTAATACAGCTCAGAAGCCCAAATGAACTAATTTCCTGAAAGTAAAAATAATTTGCTAAAGGAAGAGGATTATTATGGATTAATTGTATTTAGGCTTCCTTTGGAGCAGGCTATAGCCAGCACAGCTGAAAGCAAAACGTCCTTATCAAAACACAGTGCACGTCCTTTTCATACCCCAGGGTGATAAACGAACTAAGGGCAGGAAAAAAGGGCATACAATTTAAACTCTGGTCCAAATATAGGTTTAGTCCTAGATTCTGCAATAGCTGATCATTGTTTTTAGAGCTTCTTTGGCAACTGCATTAAATCAATTTAGTCATCCAGTTTAGTCATCATCTTTATCCTTGATTCCTTGCTGATAATTGCTGAGCACAGTTATAAGAACATTGATGCCCTGTGGGAAGCTTTCACATATTTTAAAGGGTGTTCTTCAAAACCATCCCTCTGTGGTTGGAGCACTTTTCCTTTCCGATGGCTAATGGTGAGGAATAACAGAAGTCGAAGGCCACAAGTAGCTGGAGGGAAAGCAGATTCACTGTACTGGCTTATGGAAGCAATTCTTATTCCAAACGGATGCTGCCTTCAGTCCAAATTCCTACTGTTGGAAGAAAAATCCAGTCCAATTTGAAGCTGGGAGAAAGATGCTGGAAATAAAATGGAGGCAGGCTGCAGGAAATGAAGTCTCTGTTTATTTGGTAGCCAGCAGCATGTTTCTGAGGTGGTTGATAAAATGGGGTTGAGTGTAGGTGGGCTTTTATACATTCTTTGGGGCTTTGTGATTGAGATGCCTGTTCCTTCGTAAGAATGTGACCTTTAATATTTTAATGGCTGTTGCCAGATTCCTATGGGGTCATGTAGGGGTCATGATTGGCTCTACAGGCAAAAGGGGAAATGCAAATCCTAGGTTTGTGATGGTGAACCTATGGCACGTGTGCCACAGGTGGCACGCAGAGCCATATCGGTGGGCACGTGAGCTCAGCTGTGGTGTGCATGCACACATCAGCCATCTGATTTTCGGGCCTTCTGGGCCACCTGGAAGTAGGGAAACAGGCCACTTCTGGCCTCCAGAGGGCCTCAGGGGAGAGTGGGGAAGGCCGTTTTCCCCCTCCCCAGGCTCCTACAGGGGCTCTGGAGCCTGGCGAGAGCAAAAAACCAGCTTACTGGGCCCACCATACCAAAAGCGGGGGGAGAGTAGGGGGGTTGCATGCGCATGCACGGGGTGCATAGAATTATGGGTGCAGGCACGCGCACATGCGACCCCCCCTCCCCTGACTTTTGGCATGCAATGGCAAAAAGGTTAGCCATCACTGTCCTAGGTGTTTTTCTGAGCTAATCTTGTCAGCTTTGGCTTGCCTATTGTGTTGCTTATTTGGAGTCTCTTTGCTTATGAATAGATTGGCCCAGTCTTTCTGAAAGGATACAAAATCTCCATTCCTAAAGACCAAGCTTCTGCTTGAGGCTGTTTTCCTATGGCAGAAAGACTGGGGATCCTTTCTGCCTTTGTTAAAATTTTTATCAGTTTCTCCTTTAGGGGAAATATTATCTTCTGCCTCTTTTTAATATTAAGAATAAAGAATATTTTAATCTTGTGGGGGGGTTTCCTACACTACCAAATTAACCTGGAACTCAATGCAGTACACCACGATTTTTCTATGCATTTTCTAGAATTTTATTGATTCATTCCAATTTTAACCCCAATCCAATATGCCTTCAAAGGGTGTAACACTTCCAATCCCAGAAGATTAAGTTGCTGTACAATATAACTAGAGGAACACAGAGGAGAAATTGAGAGGGGGTAAGTAGGTAGCTTTCTACACCTTGCGTGGTCAGCAGAAGGATTTGTTTCTGAGGCATGCAATAGAAGCTGTATGAAGGCCTAATGACCTATTTCAGCCACTTAAGCTCTTTCCTCAAAACCATATTTTTTTTCTCAATGTCTCCCTCTTCTGGACAAAGAATAACCTTATTCTAGTTAAAGATTAACTTACATTTGTCATTTGTAAATCCTGTTGGACTTCTTACAATTATACCATCCCATTACACAACACAAAGAACTATTAAAATACCGCTTTATATAGCCCAGCATTCTCTCTTTCAACAATGATGGGCATAATTTCATATTTTACCTGTTCTGAAAATTGTGTGGCAGCAGCCAAAAAAACTAATGCAATCCTTGGTTGTATAAAGCATAGAGTCAAAATCACATGAAGTGCAGTATTAGTACCACTTTATAAATCCTTAGTAAGAGCACACCTGGAATACTGCATCCAGTTTTGGTCACATTACAAAAAAATGTTGAGACTTTGGAAAAAGTGCAGAGAACATATGCAGGAATTGGGTATGGCTAGTCTAGAGAAAAGAAGGCCTAGGGGTGACATGATAGCAGTATTCCAGTATTTGGGGCTGCCACAGAGAAGAGGGGTCAATTTATTTTCCAAAGCACCAGAAGACAAGACAAGAAACAATGGATGTAAACTGATCAAGGAGAGAAGCAACCTGGAATTAAGGAGAAACTTCATAACAGTGAGAAGAGTTAACTAATGGAACCAGGAGTGGGTTTCAGCAGGTTCTGGCCAATTCTGGAGAACTGGTAGCAGAAATTTTGAGTAGTTTGGAGAACCGGGAGTAAAAACTCTGACTGGTCCCACCCCCATCTATTCTCTGCCTCCCGAGTCCCAGCTGATCAGGAGGAAATGGGGATTTTGCAGTAACCTTCCCCTGAAGTGGGGTGGGAATGGAGATTTTACAGTATCCTTCCCCTGCCACGCCCACCAAACCACGCCCACAGAACTGGTACTAAAATTTTTTGAAACCCACCACTGAGTGGAACAGCTTATCTTCAGAAGCTGTGGGTGCTTCATTACTGGAGGTTTTTAAGAAGAGACTGGACAGCTATTTTCTCAAATTGTATAGGGTCTCCTGATTAAGCAGGGGGTTGGACTATTAAACCTCCAGGTTCCCTTCCAGCTCTATTCTGATTGATTGAAATGTTGTAATCAAAAGTAAA